GGAATAAAGCTTTGCATTCCCCCCATACCCACAGATACCTGAATTTTCTGTATTGTTATATGGTTCCCTTCTTAGCTTTTGCCATGGAAACTTGGTTCTAGTATGTCTGAATGTTTTGCCAAGCTTTCTTTTAGAGGAAGATGGTGTTGTCTAGCATCCCATTCACTGAAGCAATCAAGCCTTAAAATTGAAAGGTCTTAGAGGTCATGATTAATCCAGCACTACAAAGTAGTATCTAAATGGTGCTATCTTTAGAAAGGTGGGCCCCAGGTTACACACAACTGCAGAAAACTGTGTCCATATTGTATATACTCCTTCTTTGACCACTCTTTATAGCGTAGTCTCTCTCTATTCCCTGAAGTTGAATATTCCCAAACTACCACCATGTCTTGATGGTAAAAGCTTAGACAAGAAGACATGATCTATTAGCTTTGTGATATCTGACAGGTTACTTAACCTCACTGAACCATAATTGCCTCATCGGTTTCATAGGGATAACAATGCCTGTCCTGTTTCCTTGTAAGAACCAAATTAGATGATACTTGGTGAATGTTCTATCGCCATTTAGACAAATGCAAGTTATTACTACAGCAGAAGTCCATAGTCATCCAGTTGAATGTTTAAGACTTGTGAGTCATATTGAAAACTAATTTGTATTTGTTCTTTATTGATTTCCTTTTTAGCCCTATATACCATATTTAATTTTAGAGATGGGGTTGACTTGATTGTAATTGCACACTGGTGTAAGCATTGGAGCAGAATTACACAGCACCAATGAATTTATTATGTATAAATAATATAAACTAGCAATCTCCTTAGCAATATTGAGTGGCCTCTTTATCTTTTGTGTAATACAGATTCATTTGAATGGCTAAAACATAAGAATTGTCTTGGAAGTGCTTAAACATTTATCATTTCCTAATACAGTATATAAAATTAGTGAAGAGGTCAATTTAAAAAAAAAGGAAGTTAAAAGACTGAAAATTCCACATTTTACTATTATGATTAGTCCTGAGTACTCTCCAGGTCTTCTAGTGATGTTAGAAACACAGCTGCACAGGAAGTAATCGGGGCCGTTAGTGTGCTGTAATGTTACTTGCTTAATTATTCAAGTAAAGTTTTACCCTATTAGAGAGAAACTCCAGAGATTGCTCATGGCTGATGATTGCCATCCATCAAACTTCGCAGAGCTTATGATTTAGGTTTAGCAGAGCCTATATTTAATCTAATCATTTCAGTAAGTTCACTGATGCTTTCCAAATGACATCATAAATGAGGTCAAGACTGTCTTTTCTCACCAGTTTAATAAACTCACCAGTAAGTTTTTACTGAGTGCTATTACATTGTTCTGTTTTAAGCATCATGGGAGATCAGACACGATCCAGTCCTTCAGAGAGCTTATCCTTCAACTGAGGACGGACTATCATTGGCAAATACAGTTAACAATTAACAAGTGAGTAGGGAATGAAGTGCTTATTGATATGTAATGTGGAATTTCAGAGGAGCAAGAGGAGAACGTGTGTTGGAGTAATTAGAGAAGGTAGACCTATATGATTTGCTACTTGAACTGGGTCATGAAGGATAAGCATGATTTTATCAGACAGAGAGAAAAGAGTTTGCCAAGAAAATAGAACAAGTCACTTATAGGCAGTAGTGTATATGGGGATCCAAGGACTTAGCCCTGATCAGAGCAGAGGAGATGAAACAATGAGTAATACACAGAGTTAGCCAAGTAGGGTGAGGCCAAATTTTGAGTACCAGATGAAAGAGGTTAAATTTGATCGGGTAGAAGGAAAAAAACAACAAACAACTCTTGTAAGTTTTTGGGTAAGAATGATGAGAGTGGTTAGTCAGGCAGTGATTATTAGGGTTGACTGGAACAGAGAGGACGTCAGGTACATCAGAAGGACATTGCAGTCACCCAGTGACCTGGCGAGGGCTGAGCCAAGCAAATGGCAGGGGGATGGAGAGAGAGGAGTGGACGGGAGAACTGCTTCGAAGGGAAGATGAGCAGGACCTCTCCACTGACTGGATTTGAAGGCTGTACAAGAAATGTTTTGTCAAACATGATTTCAAGATTTCTAGCCTGTGGCCTGGGTGGTCCAAAGTATCCAGAAAGCACCGTCAGAAACAGAATTAGGAAGTAATATCGTTCTGACAAAAAGGGTGGGTTTGATGTCAGATGCACTTGACTTCAAGGCCTTGTGAGTAGGCGTTAGCATTGAACAAGTGTCACTCAGGGGCTGGGGATTTTTCACCAGGTGGTTAATCACAAAATCTGTGCAGATGTGCTGCATTGAGGGATGCCTGTGTTTGGCTTCAGGATGAAAGCCAAGTACCATTTACTCAGATACTATTTGTCCCTCTGAAATATTTGCTTGTGCAGTGGATGAGAAAATGATATATAAAGTACTATTTTTTTCAACGAAAAAGTTATTCATACAAAAATAAATGAGATCAGTGAAAGGCCAGATAAACTTCTTTAAGTCTAGCATTTAAAATGGTATCATTAAAAGACTCATTACTGTGGTAGTGATAATAAAACAATTTTTTAACTCTAGTTTAAGATGCCTGCGTACTGTGGGCCATTTTAAGCAATTAGTGTGGGCACTTAGTAAATACTTACTGAATCTACTCTGCTTGGTTCATTCTAAGGTAGACTTTTCCTTTTCTTTTTCTTTAGCATCTCTGAATTTGGGTTGTGTTTTACAGCTGATGTCATTTCATTGTACTTGTTGGCTATGCAGCAGTCATAGTATAGTTGTCATTGCCTTAACCAATTTATTTTACTTAATTTTATTATATATGCACAGAAGTTACATATGATAAATGTATCCAAATAAGTGTAAAAGAGCTCTTTTCAGTAAGTATGCAGTAACAGTTCTAAGTGATAAAGTAAACAGCAGTTTAATTGGCTGCATTTCTTATTTCTTAGTGGTACATGAAATGGTATGTTTCATAATGATGTTATCTGTGAACTACCATATTAAAAGATAGCCGATCACAGCAAATCTCTACCAGTGTCCTAGCGATGGCCAGAGTAAAATATTCTAAATTTGCATTCTTTCATCGACCTACATTAGAGGTGTCCCTGGAGTTATTTTAATGTGGACTGGGAACATTAGGAGAAAGGATTTTCATTCAATGGTGTAAGGACCGCCTGCCAGGAATAGAAACCTCCTTGGAGGATCCATTTCTTTGATGGTGCAGAATCCAGAACATTCACAAGAGTCCAGGTATTCACAGAATGGATATCTGTGTTTTATTCCAACCAGCGCGCCTTCCTGACCTCAGACCACTGTGCACTCCACGCAGTTCTGAGCACGCTTGCTCTTGGTGCAGAGAGAGAGTGAATCAACAGGGAAATTTGTTGGGGTTTGGGGGTGGTAATAAAGCCTGCTAGTGGTAGAAAATGTGATCTCTTGTAAAAGTGGAGAACGGAAACGTGGTTTTCGAGGCCCGAGTTTTCAGCCATGTCACAGTATGACGTGTTGACCAGAGGGTTGCCTTCCTGTTCAGTAACACTTCATGGACAGAAAAACAGCCCCTTTTCCTACTGATTGGCACACTGTGTGTGTCTTCGTGTAAGTCCACACTCCCGAGCTGAGAGTAGGCACGCAGTTAGAGCATCTGGGCTTCTCTTACTGCTGAGGGACGTGATGCTCAGGTAAGTGGTTCTGGAGTCCTTCACCATCTGACGGTAACCTTGGGTTGGTCTATAGGTATGTTTCCTTTTGCTTGTTCATCCATTCTAATTGGCTTCCCAGAGCATGCTTGTAGATGCAGAGCCAAATTTAGAGTATAGCAACCCTCTGGCAAACAGGAAGAGATTAATTTTGTGGTGTGCTGTTAAGGGACTTCCCAGGAAACTTCAAAAGCACAGAAAGAAGCCCTGGCTGCCTATTCCAAAACGTGCAAAATGCCATTCAGCTTTTTAAAGGTATGCCAACTCAGGGTACACACACACGCACACACATGTGCACACACGATCCCATTTCAATAAAAAGAGAAGCTGAGCTTTCTTAGATGGGTCCTGTCTATGAGCCAGAAAAGGCCAAGGGGTGAAGGGCTCCAAGCCATTACGGAGATAAATGTAGGTCCACATATGGGAGGCATTTGAATGGACTGCAGTGCCTTTGTAATGCTGACTTTTCCAGTTTTCTCTTAAGCAGACACATTGTTTTTATGATATCGGCTCCAGGCATAGACACTTCATTAAAATCAATGTGTAGAAAATGATTTCTGTTTGGAAATAAGCAAAACATTTCCAGTTATGACCACCCAGGTGTAGTAGGAAAACACTGGAGCTGGGGGTGGCAGCCTGAATCCTAATGTAATCTTTCTTCATGACACAAGGCAAGTAAGTCCTCTGTGGTCTTTGATTTCCTTATCTGTAAAACAGGACAGTTGGATCTTTGCTGTAATAGATTATCTCTATGGGAGGAAAAAGTCAATGAAAAGGCTCCTTATAGCTCCCTGACTTCTGTTTTATCGTGCAATTCCTGCCTAGTTATCCCACAGCTAGAAAGTCCTACTCAGATTCCCCGGGTCACACACTCCTGCAAGAGGACCATGTTGCTAACTTGAAAAAAATAAATTACTATTACACTTACAGCTGTTGCTTAGTAACATCTCTGATTTTGTGTTTCTGGTGACAGCCTGAGCAGAGATCATTAAAAATTTAACTTACAAAGCTTCTAAAGTGAGAGAAGGAGGAAAACCTAAAGCCACAATTTTTTCACTGCCTTAGACCCCGTGCAATCTCAGGTTTATATGCTAAATCTCGGAGAAAACCCTGCACGCCTCTGGTTTATATTAAAGCACGTAGGGCACCCTACTGACGTTAACTTGGGTCTGGTGCAGCTGGAGTTTATCACCGATACATAAAAAACCTTGACCCTGCAGAATGGCCTGGAATTACAATCAGCTGGGCTGCACTGTATCCCTGCAGAAGAAAGCTCTAACCAGTTTTATGTCCTGTTTCTGCTTTCTCCCCACAGTTCCACCAGGTGAGAAGAGTGATGACCATCCTTTTCCTTACTATGGTTATTTCATACTTCGGTTGCATGAAGGCTGCCCCCATGAAAGAAGCAAACGTCCGAGGACAAGGCAGCTTGGCCTACCCAGGTGTTCGGACCCATGGGACTCTGGAGAGTGTGAATGGGCCCAAGGCAGGTTCACGAGGCCTGACGTCATTGGCTGACACTTTTGAACACGTGATCGAAGAGCTGTTGGATGAGGACCCGAAAGTACGGCCCCACGAAGAAAACAATAAGGACGCGGACTTGTACACTTCCAGGGTGATGCTCAGTAGTCAAGTGCCTTTGGAGCCGCCTCTTCTCTTTCTGCTGGAGGAATACAAAAATTACCTGGATGCTGCAAACATGTCCATGCGGGTCCGGCGCCACTCCGACCCGGCCCGCCGCGGGGAGCTGAGCGTGTGCGACAGCATCAGCGAGTGGGTGACAGCGGCGGATAAAAAGACTGCAGTGGACATGTCGGGCGGGACGGTCACGGTCCTTGAAAAGGTCCCTGTATCAAAAGGCCAACTGAAGCAGTACTTCTACGAGACCAAGTGCAATCCCATGGGCTACACAAAGGAGGGCTGCAGGGGCATAGACAAGAGGCACTGGAACTCCCAGTGCCGAACTACCCAGTCGTACGTGCGGGCCCTCACCATGGATAGCAAAAAGCGAATTGGCTGGCGATTCATAAGGATAGACACTTCCTGTGTATGTACATTGACCATTAAAAGGGGAAGATAGTGGATTTATGTTGTATAGATTATATTGAGACAAAAATTATCTATTTGTATATATACATAACAGGGTAAATTATTCAGTTAAGAAAAAAAAATAATTTTATGAACTGCATGTATAAATGAAGTTTATACAGTACAGTGGTTCTACAATCTATTTATTGGACATATCCATGACCAGAAGGGAAACAGTCATTTTGCGCACAACTTTTAAAAGTCTGCATTACATTCCTCGATAATGTTGTGGTTTGTTGCCGTTGCCAAGAATTGAAAACGTAAAAAGTTTAAAAAAAAAATAATAATAAATTGCATGCTGCTTTAATTGTGAATTGATAATAAACTGTCCTCTTTCAGAAAACAGACAAAAACAAAAAAACAACACAAAAAAAAAACCAACAACAAAAATTTGAACCAAAACATTCCGTTTACATTTTAGACAGTAAGTATCTTCGTTCTTGTTAGTACTATCTCTGTTTTACTGCTTTTAAACTTCTGATAGCATTGGAATTAAAACAATGTCAAGGTGCTGTTGTCATCGCTTTACTGGCTTAGGGGATGGGGGATGGGAGGGTATACTTTTGTTTGTTTTGTGTTTCTTTTTTGTTTGTTTGTTTTTGTTTTTGTTTTTTTTAGTTCCCACAGGGAGTAGGGATGGGGAAAGAATCCCTTCAATCTATATTCTGGTTGATAAAAGATTCATTTGTATGTTGTAAAGATGTTTGCAGTATCAATCAGACAACTAGGAAAATGAATAAAAATTAAGGCAACTGAACGTGCTCCCTCCAGTTCCCATGATGCACCTCCTAGGCTCTCACTCACCATTTGGGCCTTGGCCAGAGAAAGCGTCTTTTGTTGCAAAGACCTACATTTACTTAGAGCACCTTCTTTCCCCCCCTCCCCCTTTGGTCCCCTCTTTGTTTTGTTTTCTCTTAAGGAAGAAAAGTCCATTCCATGCTCTGAAATGTTTTACCACTGCGGTGAATGAGTGAACACATTTTGTCACATCGTGACACTCATAAGCATGGAGGACAGTGATTTCTTCTTTTTTTTTTTAGATGAGAAAAAGAACAACCAAAAATTAAAAATAAAGATTTAAAAAAAAATAATAATAAGAGGTAAACAGTTTGGGTAACTTATTGTAAGGCTTGAAAGAAAAATCATGGTAAGGCTTAAAAATGTCTTGCAACCAAAAGGTGGAGTTCTCTATGGACCCAGAAACGCCTAGATCAGATCAGGAGCCCACACTGCCAGTGAAATGAGACTGAACAGCCATGTGGAGGCTGTGTGGAGCTGATCTATCATTTTTGGGAGGTGCAGGAAGAATTCTGAGTGGCCATCCTGAGGTCTAGGTGGGGGTGGGGAATGGTACTTGAGACATTCCAAAAGGGAGGCCTCAGAAGGACCCTTCAGAGGTGGCTGTGGAATGACATGTGTCAAGTTGCTTTGGACCTCACGCTTTAAGTGCCTACATTATCTAACTGTGCTAAGAGGTTCTCGCTGGAGGACCATGCTCAAGCCGACTTAACGCCCTCTACCCCTGGATAATTGCATAAAGCTGGATTAGCCTGGAGCAGGTTCAGAATGAAAGGTGGCATTGTGATGATGAGACTGTACAGAGATACGAGATGTTTGCTACCTGAACACTTACTGCTTTGAAATTAGACTTGAGGAAACCAGGGTTTTGTCTTTTGAGAACTTTTGGTAAGGGGGAAGGGAACAGGAAAAGACCCCAAAACTCAGGTTGAATGATCAAGGCTACCAATAGAAAATCTTGTCCGGAGACAAGACTTTGGGAAGGTGTCTGCACACTAGGACACCAAAGACTGGAAGGTGCCTTGCTCTATGGAAGAGGCCAGGACAGAGCTGGCAAAGTTTTGCTCCCCAGTGAAGGCCACAGCAACTTCCTGCCCATCCTGTCTGTTCATGGAGAGAGTCCCGCCTCACCTCTGCCATCTTGGGTTAGGAGAAGTCAAGTTGGGAGCCTGAAATATAGTGGTCCTGGGAAAAAATGGACCCCCGTGAAAGTTAGAGCTAAGCCTATTCACCCATTCATCCTACTGTCCAAATCTGAAAGTGTCCTGGAGCAGTGTCCTTGAGTATCGGGAAGCCTCAAGAAATTGCTGTATCTTGGTAGGGCGAGGGATAAGCAAAAGAGGACGTCCACCACCACCCAGGGAATGAAGATATCATCGGCAAATGATTTCTCTTTATTCAGTCTTTCATTTAGAATGAGCCCATCTTTTACAGTATCATCTGAATACCTGTCATTAAAAGAAGGAAGAATTTGTGTAGCATAGGTTTGTTTTGTACTGTTTGAAAATATTGTCCTTGTAATTATTTTGAACATGTAATTGAACACTTGGAATATCCGCTGTATGATAACTTTTTGCAGCTCTGTTTTGAGGGACAAAAATTACTTTAAAAAAAAGAAGAAGAAGAAGAGTCCCCACTGCAGTGTTCAGAGCTGCAGAGGACAGGTCTGCTAAGTGACATTTCGGCAATCGTGTGGTCAGTGGCTCTCTCTTACCCAATAGGATACATCAAAGTCACACTCTTGGTGGTTTACGTTGACCTAAGTTTTATTTTGAGATCTTTCTCTGTTGCTGTTCATTTTTGTTCTGTTCCGTTTTGTTTTGTTTTAAAGTCTTGCTGTGGTCTCTTTGTGACAGAAGTGTTTCATGCATGGCAGCGGGCCTGTTGCTTTTTTACGGTGATTCCCATTGAAAATGTAAGTAAATGTCTGTGGCCTTGTTCTCTCTATGGTAAAGATATTATTCACCATGTAAAACAAAACAAAAAATATTTATTGTATTTTAGTATATTTATATAATTATGTTATTGAAAAAAAATTGGCATTAAAACTTAACTGCATCAGAAGCCTATTGTAAATACAAGTTCTATTTAAGTGTACTAATTAACATATAATATATGTTTTAAATATAGAATTTTTAATGTTTTTAAATATATTTTCAAAGTACATAAAATCTGGGGGTTCTGGGTTTTTTCTCTTCACGGTAAAACAAACATGAAAACGTGTTTTATTATAAATACGTGTGTTCCTTGCTTTAAGACCAACCTGATTAGTTTTAGCAATTGCATGACCCTCCAGAGAGGATGCTTATTTCAAAGCACGAGAGGCCAATCCTGTGGTGTGAGCTTCCAAGAAGCTCAAGGATTGGGCGTGTCTTCCACAGTGGAAGACGGGAGTGTCATTTTCTAGGACACTTGAAAATTTTCCCTTTGAAGTGATATACTTTCATCAAGTACCAAACTACGTATCCTAGCAACATCAGGATCCAGGGCTGGCTGGCTCTATTTGATTATAAAATAACTGTTAAAAAATCAAAGTAGGTTTACTTAGGGATAATGAGAATAAATTGGCCCAAATTTAGAAAGTCAATGACTGAAGAAAAAAAAAAGAGAGAAATTCAATATTTACAGGCAGGTCATGTACCCTTGGTGTGGAGACGATGCTTTTTGCATTATGTATTTGTATCCATTGCACTGATTTAATTTTTATACGTGGAGCCACACAGATTTTATATCACAGTACCCATGATCTAACAGATTGCTAGGATTTCTAAAAAGATTTGCCTCTGTGACGGCTGCCAAGCCGCTGGGTAATTTAGTTAAAGTGTTTAAAGTTATCACTAAATCTTAGGGAAATAAATGGAAGGATTTTAAATTAGAGAAAGAGCCATTAAGGAAAAGAAGCATCTGTTCCTACTCTTCTGACTCCCCATTTGAACAGTCAACCCATCCCAGAACGTGGTGAACTATATCTGTGCAATGTATCATTTCTATTTCAAACACATACACATGGTTTCCTCTTGTATTGTCTTATAAATAAGGATCAAGAAAGTCATAACAAACAGTGACTTGTGTTGTGTATATGGAAGAGCAGATCAAATGAGATGAATTACTCAATCCTAATCTGTCCGGTGAGTTTGCAAAGGACCCTAAACTCTAAGCGCGATCCTTGACTACCAGCGAACGCATAAGCCCAGCCATGGAATTAGAACTGTGGTAAACTTCGGGCTCAAACAATTTTCTTTGTCAATGAAGACTAACACATTGCTGAAGGGGTGAAAAGAAATGAGAATAAAACGTGACATTTGAATGACTTGAAGTTAAAGGAATTTGGTAAACACAACAAAGTTTTCATCAGAAGATGAGGTCAAAGTAACAAACAAAAAACGGAGGCATCTGCTAATTTAACCAGCATAAAGTTAATGAAAGTAGCCAACTTGTACTCTATTCACTGGTACAAGCAGTTAAACCTGTTTAATCATGAAGATGCCCGGAAATAACCCATTGCTGTGACCTAGTGTTTTTTACCATATTGATAAACCTCTGTGGTCATCAACAGCATCTGTCAAGTTTTCTTGGCTGTACTAATTCTATGAACACTATCACAGTTCTGAGTGAGAATGTGATCTAAATTTTGGAATAGATCAGTGTGAAATTATCCCTTATTCATTTAGGTGGTTACTAGACCCTGGATAAAATGTCAAACATCTTAGGAACTGCAACAAAAGGGTTCCGACCCGGCCTCAGGCCCGCCAGCGTGCTGATGGCAGTGCTAGGGCTTATGCCTTATGTAAAACATATATGTCTTCACATTCTCACATCAAGCCTGTTCTGTAAGTCAGTTAAAGTGGAAATGGCTGCATTTTGGCAAGCCATTGTTAAGTAAAAAATGTAGGTAAAGTATTTAGCCTAGAAAGAGTCATCAGTGGATTGGATCCAACCTCAAAATGTTGAACAGCAAAATCAGTGATGGACTCTGGGCCTTTTTTTTTTTCAAGCTGTGGGTTGCTTGAACTTGTTTTCAAGGCTGGTTGGTTGGTTAGTTTGGGGAGAGGGAGAGCTGGGAATCGGATTGTTTACATTAAGCTCGGTGGTGGTTGGTTCTGTGAATCCCCACTGAAGAGCCAAATTCAGTGACTAGAGTAGGGGCAGCCACTCCACACCAGCCAGTGTGTATGTCCATCCACCTAGTGCATGCGCCACCTGCACATCTATCCCAAGTCTTTGCGGATCTCCATCCACTTCGTCAGCTCTAGCCACCATTTTCATTTGTAGGAGGGGAAAAAAGGCAACCTCCTTGCTTTTTGATATGTGAATAGATGCAGTAAATTGCCTGGGGAATATTTTAAAATAGTAACAGAAAAATATTGTGATGTTACACATAATATTCCTCATTAAAAAAAAAAAAAAAACACCATGCCCTGGCCAGTTTGGCTCAGCAGTTGGAGTGTCGGCCTGCGGACCAGAGAGTCCCGGGTTCGGTTCCCGCTAAGGACATGTACCTCGGTTGCAGTTTGTCCCTGGCCCGGTTGGGGTCGTGTGGGTGGCAACCACTCGATGTGTCTCTCTCACATCAATGTTTCTCTCTCTCTCTCCCCATCCCTCTCTCCCTCCTGTTCTATCTGACGATAAATGCAAATAAAATAAAATAAAATAAAACCCAACCATTTATATGACACTATAAAATTTCCATAGGCTGTACCTCAATCCCTCTAATGACTTACTAGGCACAAAACTAACTGAAGAGCTCCCCATCCTGACCTTCGCTTATCTGAATAACAACCCTGCATGCTTTGTAATGTCAGTAGCATGGAGCTCTGAAAGCTGGTCTTCCAGTTATTAACCCCCGCCCCCAACACACACTAAGCAGGACGTTTGCACTCAGCATATATTTAAGTGTACGTTGCTAACTTTTTCTATCTGGCCAACTAAAAGTACTTTTCCTTTGGAAAAGTAATCCCTTCTGTCCTAAAATATGCCCTACAAAACACTAGTTAAGGACGGCCTGCTGTAAGCCCGTGAATGGCCAAAACACTTGGCTGAGAAACGGAGATGGAGGCGTGAGCCCCACATTGGGAACCATGGGAAGGATGCTCCCGCAGCACCCCGTGGTGCCGTAGGTGTCAAACGGTTCCTTGGAAACCAGGAGCGGGTCTGTGTAGGTTGGCTGAACCCAGGGGAAATATTTTTGTCTAGTTTAAAGTGCTCACATTTTGGAAAAATTCAAATCAAGTACTGCAGTACACGTTCACATTTATTTAGTCAAGACATTCTCCATTGAGCCCTAATATATTTTTTTTAAGTTTCTAAACTGAGATTTAATGTATATGGGGGAAGGAAAAAGACACAAAACCAAACAGAAACCTTCTTCCAAAGAAACCAAGCAGTGCTGACTGGGAAGCAGCACCCGTATTCTCCTGTAATTAGACTCACGTGGAGGTTCTCACAGCATCTCCATGTACTTGTCAGCAATGCACATTCTCAGGCCCTGCCCTAGACTTGCTGAATCAGAAGCTCTGGGGTTGGGGCCCAGCAACCTGTGTTTCTAAACAAGCCCTCCAGGTGGACGCTGACACCCGCTCCAGTTTGAGAATCATTGATCTAAGGGCAGTAGACAATCAGCCTCCCATGTACTCTAGATAATAGCAAGATAGGGCAGCCCAAGAAATTGGAACTGTGAGCTCACATTCTGGCCACGCCACTCCCCCTTTCCAGGGCCCTGCAAACATTCAAACATCTAGATGTCCATTTCCTAAGGAACACGAGAGCAGGCGATGGTGTTCCCAGCGGAGCAGTGCTCAGTGTTGGGAGCTTGCCCTGCTGACTTAAAGGCGAGCATGTAACTCTGTGCCGGGAACCTCACTGCGGTTTCTAGTCAACACTTTATTTTCTTTCCTCTCAAAGCTGCAGCAGTAGTGGATTCAGGACCCAGAGCATGTAGTCGTTTGTAACACATTTGGAATGACTGCAAGAAATGAGAGGCAACATGTAGCAAATTAATAAGGAAAAGATTATTCCATCTGGGGCGCTGGGCTCTGCACCTGCTACCACACGGCTTCCTCTTGGTGAAACAGCTATATTGGTCACAAATTAAATAAGCTTCCTGAATTAATCAGCTATTAACATCCAGCAGAGGAGTCCTAGGTTCACCCCTACGGAGTGACCATATTATAAATACAAAGGGCTTCTCCAGTCTTTGTGGCCAACCTTTTCCTGGTTGTAGGAACTGGTGTCTGGAAGTAGGCCAGTTGAATACTCTATTTTCACCCCCATCCCATCTCTGCGTGTATGTGTATGTCTGTGTGTGCACATTTTAGACACTGCAAACTGTATTGGAACATTTTCTGTTTATGGGCTGGGGTGGAGGGTGTCCAAATTTCTCATCTCTACGGCAATATGGCAACCTGAATCCTGACAAGCCTGCCTTAGGAGCCAGGAGACCTGACAGTTCAGCCATTAAATAGGTTGACCAAGCCATTTCCATTCTCGGCCTCCAGCCCTTGTCTGTCAGAGGGAGAGACTGAACTAATGGTGTTGGAGGAGAATGTCCGCTTTATGAGTCTATCATTCCGTTCTTCCTGCGTCATTGTCTGCGGTAAAAAAGGAGATTAAAAAGGTTTCTCAGGCACTTAAAGGCCGGGGAACATTCTGAGAATTCACTGTTCATCTCCTGCCTCTGTTCATCCTTGATGCTCTTACTACTGGGCTCTTGTTACAAGATTGAAATCAGGAGTCACTTGGGTCAGCCTGGGAGTTGGGGAGGCTGGGGACATGCCCCAAGGAAGGTTTGCACTTCATACGCAACTATGGAAATGTTACCAACTGTTTGACAATCGGGCAGAAAATGCCTTGGGGAAGGTATCCAAAGATTCATGGTGCAAACTTTTCTGCCTGGCTCTAAACGTACTTTGCAAGCCAGACAATATTTGCCTGTGTTTGATGTCACTCCGTATTACACGGTGCCTGGCAAAGGGAGCTCCAGAGTGTTGCTGAGCCGCAGAGACAGGAAAACTGGATCAAACTGTGGGATTTGCATCCTGTGCAGTCACTGCTGACGGAAACTGTCTGAAATAAAAGGGGCTTGCAGCTCAGCTCCATCGGGTCCCTAGCGTTATCGGGGACATGCAGCTCTCAGCTTGCTTCACTGCTGTCCCCGGCACTCTGGATAGGCCTT